ATAATTAATTATTAATTATTAATTAATTATATTTAGTAAATTAATTATAATTATAATTAAATAATAATTAATTATAATTAATCGAGATTAATCATAATTAACCAAATAATTATAATTTATAATTAATTAATAAATATTAATTAATAATAATTAATTAATTAATTATAACTATAATTAACTAATTAAAAATAATTAATAATTATTATAATTAATTAACAAACAAAAAAGTCTCTCTTTTTTTTTTTATTTTGGCCGAAGAAGCCAAAGGGAGAAAGTTACCTATACAGCAAGCGGACTCCCGTTCTTCCCCCCGATCAAAATGTTGCAACTTCCGATTTCGACAGGAAGGGAAAGCCGTGGAAGGAGCGGGGTCGACCGGCTAGGGAGGGGGAAGACCGTCGGCTTGGACAGGAGGTAGGGAGATCTATCTCTTTCTCTCTTTCTCTCTCTCTATTTCTTTGGACGAGAGTTGGCCGAAGGAGGAGAAGGCACGGCACAGGGGTTCGGAGGAGGCGAAGAGAGCTCGGCGGGCTTCAGTCGTCGGAGTAGGGATTTGCGAACGGGAGAGGGGAGATCGGGAGAGGATTCGGGAAGTTGGAGCGGAACGAGGCCGAGCGGGATCGCGAGAGGAGGCCGAAGGCCTCTTCCTCGTTCGCTTTTAACGACGCCAAGTCGTGCGAGCGATCGTGTGTGAGGCGACGTCGAGTCGTGCGAGGAGTGGCGACGACAGAGGCAGTCGTGCGAGGCGCGACGTGGGGCTGCAGGGAGTAGGTAAGATTTTGATTTTCTTTTTTTTTTTGTACAGCAGGTCAACAGTACAAAATTATTCTTCTAGCCTAGTTGGTTGCTTGAAGTTATAAACTATATCAGTGAGTAATGTATACTACATTCCTTCATTTGATTTGATTTGGTTTGGTCAGATTTTATATGCCGATTCGGTGTGGTCAGATTTTATATGCAACTTCGATTGTCGTGATCGCATCATAAAACTCTAACTTAATTTCTATGTATAGTCACCTCTAGTCAAAGGCTGCTACTCTAATAGCATGAAGGATCTATGTGGTCTATTCTCTCCTATTTATTTTTAGTTTGCATCAAATGATTATCAGAACATACTTCTAGTGCACTATTTTTGAAGAAACATGCTTCTTGCATTCTACCAAATAATTTTCCGTTAGCTATGCAAACATATATGTTGTGATGGTGGATTCGATCAAACAAATTTCATGTAGTAAAATTTATATACTTATGATTAAGTGGTGGTTGGTATATCATTGGCATGTATGAATGAGCAATGTAAATAGTTCCCATTATTTCTTGGATATGTTTTGAGCTTAGCATTAAATAAAATTCTCTCTAATGTGTATAATTGTTCATTCATACTCTTTTGGGGATGTGCTTTGGGAATTGCATTTGGACATACATATGACTTTGTTTATCTCGATAACAACTGTGACATTAATTGCATAATGGCTAAATCATTAAAAAAAATTCAACCTTTTTTTATTCCCTTTGTATATGTAGTTGTGATTTCTTCATATATTTGATTTCTTTTTATGAGAAAACACACGAGTTAAAATCCTTTCTCGTATACAATTACATATGTTGATTCATTCTTGTAAGTTGTCATATACATTGAAATTATTTCTTACAAAGATACATACACTTCGAAATTGCTTCAATGACTTGATTTGATTCATATTCTCACATATTTGTTTACATGTTAATTCATACCAGTTTCTATATTCGCATACATGATATTCTGACACCTCCTTTTCTCTTCGCGTATTTGCGAGGTACTGATGGAGCTGATTGGAGGATGAGCCAAGGAGCTTCAGTCGCCCCGTTTCTTCTAAACGGGGTGCTACGACCGGAGTCACCGTTGACTAGCTCCGGTGATTAGGTAAGTTTTCTTAAAACTTAGAAGAGTATAGAGCTTCTAGATTTACCTGTTGAGCTATTTCCCCCAACCTTAAATTCTTGTAGTAACTCCTGCATTTAGTTAATATTTGCTTTCTTCTTTTTACAAATTCGAAACCCATCGTTCATATGCATGTCCAAAGGTTTAGTGACATTGATTCAAATCCATTAAACCTAGTGACATCTTTAAGGACAATAATTAAGGACATTTCTAGAGAACTTAAAAAATTTCTAGAAATTAGGATATACCTCCCATTAACTTGAGACTTGAACTACTTGAACCTAGTGACACCTTAAACTTTAAGAAATTATCTTTTTTTTTTAATCATTAAACCAATTAATTGATCTAATTAAAGTTTAATCCTTAATTAAGCATTAAAAAAATTTATAAAAATGATAACAAATCAAATTTAAATCCAATTGACTTCAAATTTAAACCCCTTAAGTTTAGTGATCTTCCCTGCTCTAGGGAAAATTATCACTAAAATTCAAACCCTTTGAACCCCTTAATCAAACCCGTTAAGTTTAAACCTTAATTAAACCTTAAAACCTTCCAAAAATTTTAATAAATCAAATTTAAATTCAAAAACTATAAATAACCCCTCTAATTGATCAGATTTGAATCATTAATGCATGAAAATCAAAATCAACCAGATTTGACTTCAAATTTAAGAATAATTTAATAATAATTAAAATTTGATATTTAATTAAATTAATTAATTAAAAATAATTAAAAAATTTCAAAGAATTCCTAAACACTTGGGAATCTATCCTTGGGTCATTCATGACCTTTGGAATTGATTACAAGGAGTTTGGAACTCAATTAGATTCAAAGCATCAAAACCTCTCTAATTAAGACAATTAAATAATTCTAAGAAATGATCAAAACTTTGAAAATTCAGAACTAATTCAAATAAACTCTAAATCAATAAAACTTACCATCTTAAGGTCTACTATTTTAATAAAATACAAATTTTTCATAAAACATTTTTAATCTAAAATTCGAATTTTAACCTCTCGATTAAAAACATTAAATGATTCGAATAATTTTAGAACATTAAATATTTGATTTAAAAATCCAAAAAAATCCAATCTAACTTTAAAAACCAGCAATCAATCAACCTTATCTGAGATTATCAAATTTCAAACCTTAAATCAAATCTAATTCATTTAATCATACCGGGTATCAATGGGTAACCCATACCTACGAGGCTATTAACTTAGCCCCAAGGAAGATGAAATAAACTTCACGGCCTCGGTATGAAACAAAGGTGGTATCTAACAAATAATTAAGAATCAATTTTAAAATCAATTTTGAATCATTAAGACTTAAACTTTAACCAAAATATTCCCTTAAGCCTTTCAACCAACCAGAACCTTAAACAATTTTAACCAATTACCCGATTTAGGATATATCTAAACCACACAACCTGCTACACACACCTGGATTGACTTGTTAGGACACGAACTCTAGCTTTAGGTTAGGCCAATATTTCTTTCTTTTTTTGAGTTAGATTGATATGCACACAAAGTGAGAGTAACATCCTAGGTTAAATAATATAGACATAGGTTCACTGTCCACAGACCTGTGCACTTTCTATTTGTCAGCCTAAGATTAGGTTCCCAACCCCTTGGCCTACGAGGTCCCCTTGGATGAGGTAACCCATGGTTGCTAACAAGGATCCTCTGGTCTGCACTCGACTAAGTAAGCTAAGGATACCGACAAACCCGGGACGATGGAAAACCATGGGATCTTGACAAGGGACGTCATACCCACTTGGTAGGTTAGTCTTCACCCTTACCTCCTGGGCATTCTCCCGATCTGGTGATCGAGAATATAAGTCCCAACTTTCTAATAAAATTGACCATTCAAATTTAAATCACTTTCAATCAAATTCAAGCGCAACACTTAGGATAGGCTGAGGTGTTTCTGAAGTAATTCAGAATCTCAAAACCCCTCCTACCCTTCTTCCTTTGACTCCAGAAATAAGTGTTCAAATTTGATCCATTGCTGATTGAAAATTCAAACTCTTGCCTCCTTTGATATCGATCTTTGAAATTCTTAAATAAATTTTATACCGCTATTTTAATCGAGAGTATTCATAGGAAATTCCGATTTCCTACGATGTAATTACCTACGAGGGCTTGCGCTCGTATGAGATTTAGAAACCCAGACTTGATTTTTAAAATCAAGTTTTCAAAACCTCTAATTAATTATCTTTGGGAAATCAAACAAAAATGGCGATCATTATCGTCATATTAAAATAATCGATAATAGATAATATCATCTTTCTTCGGAAAGAAATATTATTTTATTATCACTATTTTGATTATGAAATTAACGATCTCTTATCCTAATTATTATAGTTAAAAAAATTGATTGAACGTCATTTTGATCTTTCGAGATCATATGTTGTTTCCCCTTGAGTTTGACTACGATAATCCAGATAAAATTAGAATTCTGAAATTTGAACCCATTAGGGAATGATATGTTTGTCTTTCGAGGAGATATATTGTTCATAATGACGTGTTCAAATTCAAAATTAAATTTAATATTCCCAAAAGAAAATTAATTCTTTTTCAAAACTATATATTTTTTTAATCAAAACACCCTACTCAACCAAACAAATGAAGAAAAACAAATTCAAACTCAATTGCTTTATCATTTTCATTACTATTTTCTTTCTTATAATTGCTTCAGCACAAACGGAACCTGTTTGTGAAAGGTTGGTTGTAAGACTACCCTACAGTGGATTAAATCTTCACATTCGCACAGGCTGGTACTCAATTTTGGGATGGGAAGTTAGAAAAAGAGCTAGCAGAAGGTCGACTTAGTAGCACTGCTTATGACCGGTAAAATATGTGAAGGTTGGAAAAGTAATAGCAGAGTTATATGGCTCTTTCCCACACAATACATCACTATTCATCCTAAAAACATTCTCAGGTACTGTATGGTTCTCTTTTCTGGGATTGCAGCTGAAGCTCTCATTTGTGGAGAAGCAGAAGGTGGAGAAAATGATGAAAATTTGTTTAGGGGTATCTGTCTTCTCTTCCAACCTCCATTAAATGTACCACAGGTATATTCAATTCTGCAGTTTTTCCTTCAAACCTTGGAAGTAACTGTCCTAATATTTCTTTGCTTTCTTTATTCAATTAATGAGATGGCAAATCAAGCACGCTGGTCGGTCATGCAGTCTTACAATCTTCTTAAGTGGCTGTTAAAGCTCTGCGATCTGGCCATAGCCTTAGTGTGGTCATCAGGAGGATATAAGAAGCCATGTCTTCTGGTAGTTGACAAAGAAGCTCAGTGGGTTCTGTCATGGAATCATAGTGCATTGGTCATTGCAGTGTCTTCTTACCATGAGCATCCTGTCAGGCGCTGAACAACTTAATGAGCCTTTAAATTGGTCAAAGAGATGCTGGCAACTTTATATGCAAATATCATGAAATAACTCATAAGACCAACATGGAAGGAAGAGAAAGAATCGAGCAAGAAGATTGATTCCCATATATGCCATCAAAAGAAGAGGGCTCGCTACATGAAAAGGTTAGGGGAGAATTTTGGTTCAGTATGCTTAGCCGTGCTCTGAATGTTATTTTTAGAATTTTCATATCATTCAACAGAAGCTTCAGCCTACTTTCTTCCAAGGAAGGATTGCTCTTCCAATATGTTTGAGTAAAATGGGAGGAGAAAATGACTGAAAGAGAATTTTTGTTACCGTTATTGCTATTTGAAAATTCATGTAAAGGAGTTGTAGTAGAAAATTTTATAGTTAAAGTTGCCAATGAAAAGCTTTTTATTCGTGTTTGTTGATCCATTGTTGAGCTGTTATTTGCTAAATTCCACGTTATTATTGTTGTTCGAACCGAGCTGTTAGGGAACACGTTTGAGCGCGGAAAGAGGTGCCTTGCTACTCGCTATCAGAGGCATCGAGACAGACTCTTTCGGGATGCTCGGCAGGAGTGGAAGTGAGGCATCGGTGAGCAAGGTTTGGGCCTCATGAACAAAGTCTTACATGGGGTCCTGGAATGGGTACTCATGTTTTGTGCGGGTGGGTTTCACCCACTCATGTCTATCCATGATGATTTTTGGGATATTGTACCCACTCATATCCACTCTTTTTTTCATGCTTTTTGAACGAAGTATGCCACAGTCTGATGGTCATGAGACTAGTTTTTCTTTGTTTTAATTGTAAATTTTCAACCTACATATCATAATTTACCGTGGTCGTAGAGTGGTTCAGTGTTGCGCATGGTGATTAGTAATATAAATCGATTTATCCTCCGATGTTGAGTACCCACCCATATACGGCCGCAAGGTTATTGGCATTCCCATCCTCATCCATACCCATGTGAGTTGGTGTGCGTATAAATACCCAATGTAGGGCTCTGCTCCTGAACAACGAGAGACAAAAAAATTTTCCAGCATAAACATAAATCCTCTATGAGGCTTCATTTGAGTTCACTTTTTTATTGTTTCTTAAAATAAATTTTTAATAAAAAATAAAAATTTATATTAAAAATTTACTTTAAGAAGCAGTAAGAAAATCATCTCAAATAAAATCTAAATATGTATATTTATTTATATAAAATTTATTTATTTTTTTATTTATTTAACTTGATTTTGTACATAAGTTGAACTTATATATAACAGGAATAAACATACAATACGAGCTATACAAATAGGAAATCTTATTTTTAAGGCAGTAAAATCTATGTGATATCAACATATTTTTTACCAATATCTTCAGTTTTTTTTTTTAAGTCATGTGTAGTCGTCAAACGCCCATCTCTACTTCAAAGCTGGCGGTCTATTCTTCCCTTAACATTTATTATAGTTTTCCCAAAAAACTAGCTTTTATCTTGTTAGAAACATGTCTAAAATAATTCTGATGACTTCAATGCAAATGTGGATGATAGACATCACTCATGTTTACACTCAATGGGCATACTTGTGTTAGTTCAAATATAAAAATTATAGATATAAATTAATGAATCTAATAGTATAATTATCTAATGGGTTGTTTGTTTTGAAGTAAAGTGGTGTAAAGTAATTTTTAATATTGATGTTTGGTTGGATGAAAAATAAATGTAAATCTAAGTAAAAGGAATGCAATATAAAGTGTTTTAATTAAAACAAACTCGCCTAGTTTTGAATGAAAACTATTTTCAACTTAAGCAAGCTCTCTTATCACCGCTAGCCACCACCAACTGAGGCTACTCTCAACAATGCCTAACGCCGCCCGATGCCAGTGGTCGCCTGCTAGGGGTGTCAAATCGTGTCCATGTATCGTGTTCGAGTCCAACCCGATTTTGACCCGCCAGTTTTTTATCAGACCCGGTTTTGGATTCATCTCCCTTTTTCCAAACTGAACCCGGCCCAAAATATACTACATTAATTAAATTTGAAAAAAAAACTATATAATGAATTATTACTGCAACATATATTGGTATTTGACAAGTGGCAAAAGGTAAATTTCATTAAAAACTTTACAATTTTTACATTTTTACATAACACATTACAATTAAACTCAAACTACATAACAACTTACGAGCTCAAATTACATTTTACAAGCTTAAATTACAAACTAAACAATCTAAAAATGCAAACTCAAATAGTCAAATTACAACTTACAAACTCAAATTACAACTTACAAGCTCAAACTTCTCTTCAAGTTGAATTAACTGCAAAAGGAAGATTGCTAAACACTTAAAAAGTTTTAAACATATATAATTTTAAATTATGATTTATGAAATAGACTAGAAAGTTTTAATGAATAGTTCAATAATTAATGAAAAGTAAGTAATGAATATATGATTTTTCTAATTCTCTATTACCATCCAAGGCGGCAATTTGCATTAAGCTTAATTTAGTATATCTTAGATAATACACTATCTGCTCTTGATAGAAGCTAACATGTATTTCATATTTTCATGTTTAGCATTTACTCTCACCACTAACCACAAATACATAGGCACAAAGAGGTAACAAAGCGACAAGCCCTAAAAAATCCATGATGAGTGATGCCAGCTAAACCCGCTCGAATTTATACGATTCTTTAACAACATAACTGGAAAAACTCTAAAATATGCAAAGCCTCAAAAAATCAAATGGAATCATGGAAAAAAAAAGATGCCCTAATCGGCATATCAATGGCTCAAAGCCCTCAAATCTCAATGCAAAAAGACAAAGACTGAAGAACCAAAACCCTAACTGCTTTAAATTGAAAGGAATAAATCTCTAAATCGAAAGTGTGAATAACTCTAAAATCTAACTGGCAGAACTCATAAAAGTATAAATGATAATACACAGAGGGATAGAGTCACACAATGCACTACAGGATTAAGATAAAGGATCCAATGAGAAGTGAAGGCCTGAGAGCTCCAGGCAGGACTCAGGAGTCCGAAGGTGGAGGAAAGGAAGGCAGAAAGCCAGAACTAGAGAGGTGAGAGCTCAGAGCATCGAAGACTAAAAAATTAAAATGAAATAAAGAATATGCTAAACCGCTATGTCACAACCCAACCCGACTAGAACAAGTCTTATTGTGTTAAGCTGTCATAAAAAAATCCTAAGATCTGATTTTAGAATTATTTCAGATTTTTTTTCAATGTTTATTGAATAAACGACAGGCTACACAAATACTAAAACATCCAAATATTAAAAAAAAAACTTATCCACCAGGTCATTTCATCATAATAAATATATACACTACAATATATGGCTATAGACAAGAGTTACAAAATTGAAAATTTAACTATCCATGATTATATAAAAATTAAAATAGAAAAATATATATGATATCATATTTGATCATGAACTGCTAGTTCACAATCTCTTTCCCCTTCCCAAATCCTTAAAAACCAAAAGCAAACCTGCAGTGAGCTACAATAGCTCAGCATGCCACATAAACCAATTTAAAATTTTCAAATATTCCTTTATCAAATATTTTATTAAATATTTAAAAATAATTAAATGCAATTTAAATAAATCACTATACTAAGAGATGTATAAAATACATAATAATTATTCCTTGATTCAAATAAAAATATTAAATAAGTAAATAAATTAAAATTCATATCACATTTCCCTGGACCCAAACAAAACCTTAAAGGATTCTGGAACCTTATGACTCACTTTTTATTTGTGCTTATAGTACCATAATATATCACATATTTCTATCTTAGACAAAATCTCAAAAGATTCTAGCCCCTTATAACTCTTAGTAATTTCCTGACATAAATAGAATCTAAGAGGATTCTGACCCCTTATAATTCTCTGCAAATATAATTTAATCACATATGCATATATATCATCATATTATTGCAGTTAAAGAGTAATTGAGCATGTATCAAAATTTCAGTATAGCATAATCGTAGACAACAAAAAATTCTATTAGGCAAAAATGTACATTTTCAAAAAATTATCAAATTATGAGAGATTGTGTAAAATGATGTTTTAAGACTTTTATTATACACCACTATTTTCTTAACTTACATATACTTTTTTATTCAATAAAAATATCATAAATTTCAAAACCCTCATTGTAAAATTTTCAAAAAATATTTAAAATATGCATAATCGTAATATCCATAACATTTAAAAAGTTACGATGTGAAAGTTTACATATGCAAAGTTATGTGCATGTTTCTCTAACGAATATAAAATTTTAATTGAAAAATTCACTAAAAATGCTCATTTTTAAAAATTGAGATGGACATAATGTGACTTACCTCAAGACAAACAAGTTTTTAACTAGGCCGATAGGCAAAACCAGGGCGAAGTCGCCCAAAATCTGGCTTTCCTCTATCTCTCTCATCTCTTTCTCTTAATTTCCCTTTTCTCTTAGTTAGCCGTGAGTTTAGTTTCTTAGGGAAATGAGAAATATATTTATAGTGCTTTTAGATATTTATTTTTAATTATTAAATAATATATAATAATGTTATTATAATTAATTTTAATAGAAAATTTATAAAAATTATATTAGGGATTCCAAAAATTAAAATATATATATATAAATTAGCTCATTTTATTTAATTTTTTTTTGGTGAAAATGGTTTGCAAAACGAACACCTAACTGTTCCAAAAATCCCACTTGTACTGACATGTGCATATTTCTTAAAATTTTTTAATAATACCCAAAAATTATTTAAAAAATAGGTTAATTAAATGTTTTGGCCAAAATGAATCAGAATAAACTTGGATACAAATGCCTCATGCCAAATTCCTTCTCCTAAGTAACCTCTATAGTAGTTCTATGCTTCCACTATACTTTGACCATAGAAATAAGCTTGATTCTCATTTTTCTCACATCATATGTCAAAATCCTTTCGGGTTCTTTCCTATATTGAAGAATTGGATGAACCTCAATATCCTCCGTATATAATCTCTTTCTAAAATAAGATACCCACTTTCTCAAAAAAGATATATGAAACACACTGTGTATATCAGACATATGATCATGTAATAATAACATGTAAGCATAACTATCAATCCACTCAATGATCTCAAAAGGTCCAATGTACCTTGGAATGAGCTTACTGATTCTCCCATATCTACTAACACCTTTCATAGGCTGACTTTGACATAAACTAGGTCGCCAATCTGAAACTCGTAGTTCTGAGACTACCAAATGAAACATCTAAATCCACTTATATAAATAATTAAAATAATTAATATTTTCATAAAATATCTAATTTCACTTATATAAACTCCCATTTCATTTAGCCAAATCCTTAACAGAGAGCAACTTTGGTTTTTAGGGAGGAAAAAGAGGAGAGAGAAAGGGAAAAAACTTGGTTTTGGGTGATTTCGAGCCGT